GCCACCACACCCAGCTTCTCCAGCCTTTTTTAAAATATATTGTGTATGTGTAAATATTGGGAAGGAATTTTTGTATCCTAAAATTTTCCATGTAACACAGATGATACTAACAAGCTGTAAAGAATTTACTTTTAGGGGCTTACAAGATGGTTCCGAGGGAAAGTGCTTGTTGCATAAGCCTGACAACCTGAGTTCAATCCCTTGAACCCATATAAAGATGGAAGGAGAGAGCTGACTATACAGATATTCTCTGCCCTCCACACGTGTGCCATGGGACATACTTACCCCTCACACACATATATGCACACACACACACACACACACACAATAAGAAAGGGAGGGAGAGAGAGAGAGAGAGAGAGAGAGAGAGAGAGAGAGAGAGAGAGAGTGAACCCACGTCTAACGTGCAAAGGTACCATTTGAACAAGGCAGATTGAATCTGGGTGTCTCTCCTGCAGTTTGTCACTGTGCAGACCATTTCTGGAACTGGAGCTTTAAGGATCGGAGCCAGTTTTTTGGTGAGTGGAACTCCTTGAGGACAGAGGTTTAAGTTAAGGATGACAGGACTTCCTATTCTGTGTATGACTACCAACGCAGCCTCAGGCTTCCTCTTTCCACAGAGCTGGCAAGTTTCTTGTTGCCTGCTGAAAGAAAGCAAGCACTATGGAGAAATTACAAGGGAGATGTAATAAATTCAGTGTATCAAGCCCATATTGTATCAGGGAGCATTTGTATTTCAACTTACTCAGTCCCTGTAAGGGAAGTTCCATTAACCCATTTTTACAAATTAAAAACATGAGGCCCACACAGGTCTTTGCTGCACAGCCAGGATAACTGTCAGAGCCTAGCTTCCAACCCAGGCATCTTGCTGCTGACTCAGTACTGTCAACCACAGAGAAAAGCCGAGTGTCAGTAGGAAAAAAATGTTCTCTCAGGAAAACACACTAACGTTTTTTGGCCTCTCTTTTCTTCATTTTCCCATTCCCTTTCATCCCATCTTTTAGCAAAGATTTTTTAAGTTCAGCAGAGATGTGTATCTTCCCAAACCATCCTGGGGAAATCACACACCCATCTTCAGGGATGCCGGCATGCAGCTACAAGGCTATCGGTACTATGACCCCAAGACCTGTGGATTTGACTTCACAGGAGCCTTAGAGGACATCTCAGTAAGTGTGGCTTTCCAGGAGGAGGGGCAAGGAACATGTGACTTGATTTCCCAGCTGGTTCATTGTCTGACTAGGAATACAGGGGAGTGCTAGTTCCCAGGTCTCTTTGTCACTTCTCAACTTTAAAACTGTAAAGCAAAATTTTCTGGGTTGTTAATCTCTTTAGAAAATCCCAGAACAAAGTGTTCTCCTCCTGCATGCCTGTGCTCACAACCCCACGGGAGTGGACCCTCGGCCAGAGCAGTGGAAGGAAATAGCGACGTTGGTGAAGGTAAGGAGGATGACTGGATTGGTGACAGTTCTGGCTAGTCACTGGTCTTAACAGTAACAGTTGATTAATCTTGAGCCTGTCCCAAATCCATTCATGGATAAGCTCCTAGGAAGGGACTTCTGTTTGCAAAATTAGCAGTTCTATAATTGATGGTACATGCACTGTTTGAAAATAACTTTCATTCTTCAACCCAGATGTGATAAGTTCTGATAAAACTTACCAAAGCTTGTCATTGGTACAACAGCTGCACTGGCTCCAGGAGCTCCGCTGGTGGTGCCTACTTTTGTCCTGGTTGGTGGCTAGCTACACGCTCATCTTTTTAAACACTTTTTCATGACTCCTCCTTTTATTACCCTTTCCCTTGGTGCCCTAGTGTATTTTTCTGTTGCTGTGGTAAAACACTGACCAGAAGCAACTTGGGGAAGAAAAGTGTTTATTTGACTTACAGGGTACAGCCCATCAGCAAGGGAAGCCAGGGCAGGAGCTCAAGGATCAAAAGGAGTGACCGTGGAAGAGCATCACTTACTGGCTTGCTCAGCTAGCTTCTTTATACAGCCCAGGTCTGGGGATGTACTGCCTATCAAGGGCTGATCTATCCCACATCAGTCAGCAATCAAGAAAATGCCCCACAGATATGGCCACAGGCCAATCTGATGGAGGAAATGCCTTGTTTGAGGTTCCTTTTTCCCAGGTGTTTTAAGTTGACAACGAAGATTAGCCATCAGATTGGTCATTGGCTTTTCTCTCAGAGGAGCTGGCTGTGATAGAAGACAGCTAGCTAAAATTCCTACGGAGAACATTATTCCTGTCATCCTCTGCCCCTATTTCTACTACTTCTGTCGAATCTCAGCTAAAGACAGAATGAGACAGTGGAGCAGCAGTGTGAGAGAGCAGTTTCAGGATAGGGTGGTTCTCAGGGTCATCCATCCTGTGAAGCCCTGTATAGGACTGATTCATTAAAAATGCTAATGCTGGTCCCATGGCAACTAAACCACAAATACTGTTCCAGACCACTGTGGGCCTGAGAGTGCCTCCTGCTCCACTAATCAGTGTTCTCAGCACATGGAGATTGACAGTCTCCTTTCTTGGTGTCTTTGGTCTTTTTTTGAGACAAGGTCTCCCTGTAGCCAACAGCTGGCCTTGGTCTCACAGAGCTCTGCCTGCTTCTGCCTCCCAAGTGCTGGGACTAAAGGTGTATGCCACCATGCCTGACATCTTGGTGTCTTTTGAGGAACTGTATCCATCAAAGTAAAAAATTAAAAAATACATTGATAACTCTGGAATTCAGACATCTTCCCTACTGCCATCTGGGGAGAAACTGCTGGCTATGTCTGGTGAGACAGACATGGTTCCTCATAGGTATGCACAGGGAGCCAACCTAGGGCACCTGGAGGCCACCCGCCTCAAACTCTGGTCCTCTTGTTCCTTCCCAGAAAAAGAACCTCTTTGCATTCTTTGACATGGCTTACCAAGGCTTTGCCAGTGGTGATGGCGACAAGGATGCCTGGGCTGTGCGCCACTTCATCGAACAGGGCATTAACGTTTGCCTCTGCCAGTCATACGCCAAGAACATGGGCCTTTATGGTATGTTGGAGGACCCAGTGTGTAATGTGTTCCCATGAGCCCAAAGAAGAAATGGGGGAGCGTGCCAAAAAAGCTGAGAATTTGGGGGGGGGGGGCTGTATATGTGCGCCATGTGCCTGCATGTGTGTTCCATGTAGTCTTCCTTTACCCAGAGAGAAAAGATACAGTGGATTTCCCTAGCCATATCTTCTTTAGTGTCCTTAAATTCCTCCAGCAAAGAAAACTGGTTATTTCTCTAAACAAAACAACTGATACAGGAGCCAAGAAAATAGGTACAACTGGGTGCAGTGGCACACGCCTTTGATCCCAGCACTCAGGAGGCAGAGGCAGGTAGATCTCTGAGTTCGAGGCCAACCTGATTAACATAACAAGTTCCAGGCCAGCCAGGGCCACGTGAGACCCTATCTTGGAAGGAAGGAAAGAATAAGGGAGGGAGGGGAGGGAGAGAAGGAGAGAGAGGGGAAGAGGGAGGAAGGGAGGGAAGGAGGGAAGGGAATCAATACATTAAGAAAAGATCCAGAGCCTCTAAGATGGCTCAGCAGATAAAGGTGATTGCTGCCAAATCTGATGACCTGAGTTCAATCTCAAGTAGAGGGAGAAAACCAACTCCCCCAAGTTGTCCTCTGACCGTCATGTGTACATGATGGTGCACCCCTCACTCCCTAAAACCCAAATGCAATAAAATAATAAATGTTTAAAAAGAGGTCCTGATGGCCGGGCATGGTGGTGCACGTCTTTAATCCCAGCACTTGGGAGGCAGAGTTCAAAGCCAGCCTGGTCTACATAGTGAGTTCCAGGACAGCTGGGGCTACAGGGAGACCCTGTCTCAAAAAGACCAAAAAAAAAAAAGAGGTCCTGGGTACTCTTGAGCACTTTCTTTGTGTCGTGCCTCACAACCCCATTCTGGTTATTTAAAAACACTTTGTTTATAGCAGGGCAGGTAGCTCATGACTATAACCCATTATTCTGGAGGCTGAGACAGAACGATCACCTCCAGTTCCAGGCCAGCCTGGGCTCTCAAAACAAAAGTTACTGTTTGGTCCTTCTGATAGGAACAGATAATGTGTAACAATTTGAATCATGACTTGTTTTGCATGTTAGAAGACAAGATCTACTGTCTTTTCAGGTGAGCGAGTGGGAGCCTTCACTATGGTCTGCAAGGACGCGGATGAAGCCAAAAGGGTAGAGTCACAGCTGAAGATCCTGATCCGACCCATGTATTCCAACCCTCCTCTCAATGGGGCCCGAATCGCCTCTACGATCCTGACCTCCCCTGATCTGCGAAAGCAATGGTAAAGCTTGCTTGCCACTCCCAGGCCATCTAGTACTGCACAGTTCCCCATGTGGAAGGGGGAGAAGTTGGCACAAATAAGTTGGTATTCCCCACAAATGACACGTAATGCACATGTATATATAAATGAAAACTCTTGGTTTATTGAAACAAGGTCTGGCTGGATAGCCTAGGATGGCCTTGAACTTGTGATCCTCCTGCTTCAGCCTTCTAAGTGCTGGATGACAGTCATGTCCTACCACACCTGGAGAGAGAGAGAGAGAGAGATTTTTTCTGACAGTTTGGAAGAGAGAAAAAATTAATTGAACCCTTTCCTACTATAACCTGATTTTTTTCCTTGTCCATTGCCCTGAGCTGTAACACTATTGCATACGTATTTGCAGGATTGATTGGAGTTTTGTCACTTAGGGTTGAACTAAGCTGGGATGGGATATAGCTCAGTGGCATAATGTTCACCTCACCTGGGCGAAGCTGTCAATTCAGGGAGAGGACAGTGGGGGGTAGCGGTGGGAGAAAGGCCAGGAGTGGTGGTGACACATGTCCATGATCCTAACACTCAGACTAAAGCAGAAGGATTACCGAGTGTGATGCTAGCCTGAGCTACAGAGCAAGATCCAGGCCATTGAGGGCTACATATCAAGATTCTATCTCAAAATATTAATTATTATAACAAGCTTTTGTTTGTGGCATTGCTGGGGACCTAGAGCCTTGTACATCCTAGGCAGGTGATCTACCACCAAGTTATACCCCAAGACTTTTTTCATTTTTTATTTTGAGATCTTTTATTTTTTGTGTATGAGTGTTTTGTCTATATACATATATATGTATATGTATGTGTATATGTATATGCATATGTGCCTGATGCCTGTGGAGGCCAGAAGACAGTGTCAGATCGCCTGGAACCAGAGTTAGCCACCATGTGGGTGCTGGAAACCAAACCCAGGTCCTCTGGAAGAACAGCCAGTGCTTTTAACCTCAGTCATCTCTCTAGCCCCACCCTACCTTTTATTTTGAGGCAGTGTCTCACTCAGTCACCCTGATTGACCTTGAACTCTGTAGCCCAGACAGACCTTCCTGTCTTCCTGCCTCAACCTCCCCAAGTAGCTATACTATGGGCTCAGCTCATTTTAAGCTTTTCAAGGGTTGTTTTTATTATTGTATTCCCTGGTAATTATGAAGATTTCTTTTTTAGTGTATATACTTCAGTATACATTGAGAGACTCTAGTGCATAGAGTTGGACAGTGTAGGGTAGACCACAGTATAAGAGAAAAGGGCTTTTTTTCTCAAAGAAATGAAGAGGGCAGAGAGGTCTGCTTGAGAAAAGGCACATGCTGCACCATGCCTTGTGCAATGTATAAAAAATACCAAGGGATGAAAATACTGAATGGAGAACCAGGTGCAAGCCTAGCACTTGGCAGCTAGAGACAGGAAGACCAGCCTTGTCTACAAAGTGAGTTTGAGGCCATCCTGGGCTACATGAGGCCCTGCCTCAAAAAACAAACAGAAAATACTGAGTGTTCAGAGAATTACCAAAGGCAGTAAAGCTGAGCGAGTGGGGCCTGCCAGGAAGCACCTTGGTTGATATTATAGAAAATTGGCACTTGATTCTTTGGGCACAGGGAGGGTGGCAGGGTTTTGCTGAGGTAGCAGTGTACGTAAGTCACATGTTCTGTCCCTTTAGGACACAGGCCTCAGAGTGAATGAAGCTGGATGGCCACAGTGCCAAAAATTGAAACTCCAAAGCCACTCAAAGGCCAGGAGCAACTCAGCTCCAGCTAGGAGTTACCCTGCTATTAGAGTGCTGCTGCTGCCCCTCCTCTTCCTCCTCCTCCTCTTCTTCCTCTTTTTCCTCCTCTTCCTCTTCCCCTTCTTCTTCCTCATCCTTTTCTTCTTTCTCCTCCTTTTCTAACAAGGTCTCACATGGATTGCCCAGGCTCATCTCAAACTCAAAACAATCCACTTGCCTCAGCTTCCTGAGTGCTAGAATTATAGGTATTCGCCACTATACCCACTGAATCAAATTAAGACATTATTTAGGATTTAGTTGGCACTTATAACCTCTGATACAGCCTGCGTGACATTGTTGTAGAGACATTAGATTCTAAGGAGAGAGAAGGTTCAACACCAGGGCAATAAACATTGTCTTTCAATGGTCCAGTTGGTGAGAGCCAGTGAAATGAATTTCCCACAGAACCATGAGAATCAATTGTAAGGGTTGGTACTGAGAAAAGGGAAGACCATTCCAAATCAAGCTAGCTGAGCTGGATGTGCACAGGATTGCCTTCTCCAGTCCCCAGACAGCATTAGCCCCTTTCCCTGTAGCCCTCTCTGCCCAGCACTGTTCTGTTTTACATAGAACACAGTTGGTTGTTTGCAGGTTTGGCCTCTAACCTTTTACAGACAATGATGGTGTCTTGGTCCCCAGCACCTCACATACATATGACTCATTGTGTGTTCACAGTGCATTGTCTTCATTGTGAAGGCAGGAAGTTTATTCTGCCGTGTTAAAAAGTAAGTTCATGGTCTACTGTTCAATGTACACACAGCCTTAGTCTTCCTAAGTTTTCAAATGAAACTTTACTTTCCCAAATATTCAAATATGTTAACTATAATAGTTGCTTATCAAAATACTCTTGTCTTACAAAACAGGACACTAAAAAAATAGCTTTTTCCACCAGTCACTGACAATGTGTGACCCAATTAAGGATAAAGAATAAAGTCATTCCGGAGAGGAACTCAAGGAAAGCAAAACGCTGTGACCCCTGGCTTATGTGTTGGTGCTTGACCAGGATGAGACACCCCTCTGGTTCCTTTCAGGTTGCAAGAAGTAAAAGGCATGGCCGACCGCATCATTAGCATGAGGACCCAACTGGTCTCCAACCTCAAGAAGGAGGGCTCCTCCCACAACTGGCAGCACATCACCGACCAGATTGGCATGTTCTGTTTCACTGGCCTAAAGCCTGAGCAAGTGAGTAGGCTGATTCTCCACAGCCAACTAGTAGATCTGTCCTAGCAAACCAGACTTCCTCATAGGCCACCACCTATTCAAGGTTTCCCTGACAACAGTTAATTTAGAGCCCTTTCAGGTAAAGGTGCTATAGGGTATTCTGTTGTTTTGGGTTTTGTTATGAGATCACTTCTCCTTATGTTGCCCAAGGTGGTCACTCCCAAGCTCAAAGTGTGCCTCCCACCTTAGCCTGTAGCTGGGACTGCAGGCAGTGTAGCCTAACCTATTCATTCTTCTCTCCCCCTAAACTCTCCTCTCAAGACAGGGTCTCACTATGTAGCCCTGGCTGGTCTGGAACCAGGTTGGCCTCAGGCTTGCAGAGATCTATCTCTCTCTGTCTCCAGAGTGCTGGGATTAAAGGCGTGTACCAACACATCCAGCTCCCATCATCCTACTTTAAAATAACTTTCTATTCTTTTTCTATTCTTTTATTCTAACAAGACATACTAAATTCTGACCTTAAGTGAGAAATAGAGCTCTATTTTAAATTTCTCTATTTTAACAAGTTAGCTATTGTGCCATGCCAGGGCTGGGGAAATTCCCACTGGAAGAAGTCCTCTCCTCTCTGCAGGTGGAACGGCTGACCAAAGAGTTCTCCATCTACATGACAAAGGATGGCCGAATCTCTGTGGCAGGGGTCACTTCTGGCAATGTGGGCTACCTTGCCCATGCCATTCACCAGGTCACCAAGTAATTTCCTGGGTACGAGGAGCCAGAGACAACCTTTCCTTCATTCAGCCTTTGCTCTTGTGAGATTCACGTGCAGGATGAGGGAGGGTGGATGGTGGTGAGTGGATCATTTCTTTCAACTACAGTGCATAACACTCAGCGATTTGAGCGTGTTCCTCCGAGAAGAATGTGGGGTAAAGTAGGGCAGAGGCCTCCACGCTGGAGTCTGGAACTTTGTTGGCTTTAAACCAAACTCTCCCTCATCCTTCTGTCTCCAACCTTTCTGAAAGAGTTTACATGACAAGAAAGTCACAACACCAAAATCAAAACCTGTCATTCATGACATTGCAATATTTCAGAAGCTTTAACTGAAGCATCATATGGTGTCAGGGGCTCCTCTGTGGATCCAGCTGAGACAGCTCATATTAGAGGCTCTGAGAGGAACAACCTAGTTCTGTCATTAACAGTCGTCCTCGTGTCTATCCTCCCGGTACAGAGCAACTGTATCAGCAGTCCACAATACAGAAATCATGCTTTATAAAAACCAACAAATCTGTTGCCACTGCAGCAAGAAAAATAATAGATGTCTTATCTTGGCTTAGTTAACAGGAGAAAGAAGGCTATCTCTTGTCATGCTGTTCTATAGCCTAGATTTTCACCCCATTCTGCTGTTTGACCGTCAGCCCCACCCTATCAGGATTTAGTTAAGAATGGAGAGCCTAGTTTTCTGCTCAGCTCTCCCTTCTCAGCCAAGAGCCTCGGAGAGTGGGCGCCTGCACTTTATTTCAGTGTCCTCTTCAGTGATTACTTGGCTCCTCTTTGACGGGGCCTCTGCCCAGCTGGACCTCTTCATTCATCCTGGCTGCAAAGCCCGTCTCCTCACGTGAGTCAGGCAGAACGGGGTAGAATCAGAAGGAGATATTCTGAGGTTCATGCGCTGCTAGCCTGGCTCAGACCATACCCTTTGGGAAGATAACCACCATCTGCTCTAATCTGTAGATTTACTACCGCCTGGTTTCTCTGTTACAATAAAATCATGTAGATCCAACTACTGTCTATTTTTCTACTTAATGAGAGGAGTAGGGGTAGAAGTATGTTCCCTAAATCTAGAGGCATATCCAGCTGACTCTGGGCTGAAAGATGTTATTAGCCATTCCAGTCCCAACTGGAGGTACATCTCATTCTTCATCTTCCCATTCAGCTGCTCCAGTCCAAAGGTGATGGCAATGCAGGTTGAATTTCTCAGACTTCAGGAGACAAGAGAATTTCCCCAAGAGATGGAAGGGATGGAGGGGCAGAGAGGAAGGGCTAGACTCCAAATTTCTAAAGAGGCAGTGGTTAAATAAAGAGTGACATGAGCTGGATCTAGGATGATCATTGGTCACCAACCTTCATCACCATAAAGGAACAGTAGGGAAGCAGGGGGCACTGTGGCCTAAAAAGCCCAAGGTTGCAGGTCATAAGTTTTAGAAAAATGGAAATCCTAATTTGGGGGAGAGGTGAGCAGGGAACTTTAGGACTTTATTCTGCAGCATGAGGGTCACACCTTTGTCCACCACCCCTAACTTTTAATTTATTACTCTTGAGATTCCCAGCAACCTCCTCTCTGACTTCCATGTAGATTCATGTGGGGTTGTGCATTTGGGTGTGAGTATGGTGCACACGTGCATGGAGCTCATGTGGAGGTCAGAAGACAGCCATGGATGTCAGTCCTCAGACACCTTCCACCTCTCGTTTGACAAGGAGTCTCTCGTTGGTCTCCAGTTTCACTACTGAGACCAGGCTAGCTGGCATGACGCTTCCGGGGATCCTCGCACGTCCACTTTCCGTCTTGAAGTACTGGGATTACAAGCACATACTGCTGCATGAATTGTGGGATCTGCTGGCTCATGCTTGCAAGGAGGTTCCACAAGTTCTTTCCCTTGCCACTGCTTCCTTACTCCTGAGGGTCAGTGGTGGGCAGGTGGTCACTCCTGACCCTCTGCTCTTCTCAGTTCATGTTGCCAATGGCTATATCAAGGCACAGAAAGAATAAAGGAATGGACTGCTTCACTGGGTGTTTTTGAAAACAATTTAACAGGTTCTCACTATGTAGCAGCCCAGGCTGGCCTCAAACTCACAGAGATACTCCTGCCTCTGCCTCCTGAATGCTGGGGTTAAAGGAATGCCCCACCATGCCAAGACTATTTGTTGGGGGACAGGGGTATTATTGCGTATTGCATTTTTTTTTAGAAGCATCTCATTACAGCTTTAACATACTCAATAACAGTTTCCGGAGCAAAGATACATCTCTTTCAAAAGTGGCTATAAAATTTTTAGATTCGCTGTTGAATTAATATAGGTATGCAATATTGAACTAAGTATAAGCCCTGTAAGACATGAAATTGAATGAGCTTTTAACCTTTAAAAAAAAAAAAGCTCCATTTCATTTTAAAATACACTGTTTCTTACAGAAAAACTCATTGTTTTTGCTACTGAGATGTTGGTTCATGCATCTCTATTCTGTATGTATCTGATTATTACTAGTCATAATCAGTTGCAATCAGATCCTTGGCACCTGTGTATGTCTATAAAGTCATCAGGAAGATTTCAATGGTAATCTTTATCACCTTTACTAATTAACATGATGTAAGTTTTCATGCTTCCTCAAATATAATTCATTTTCTAAAATTTGTTGATTTTTTTTTTGTGTGCGTGTATATCACACAGAACATCCCAAACCATCTTATTCAACTGTACACCCACTTCCCAGAAGGCACCCTCCCATAGCCTCCCTCCCCCGACTAGAGCCCTTACACTCTGATATACCTGCTACTGTCTGCTGTGTTGTTGGCACCCCAGCCATTCCCCACTACTTGCCCTTCTGGTGAATGTAGTCAGCCTATCTAGAGGTCTTTGTTTTAGGAAGGTCAGCTGTTCCTCATCTAGCATCAATCAGTTGTCAATATTCCTTTAGACAAGATTGGGGTCTGCTGTTCATTTTCCCAGTTCTATGCTGGGTTACTATCTGGGA